GTTCTGTATAAGTGAAGTTGATTAGTAAAGTTATAAAGATATAATAAAGTCTGGTAATCAGAGATAAGTTAAGTGATAGGAAAAGAGTATGTGAACATGAAAGAAAGATATGATTGGTGTATAAGAAGATTTTGAGTTATGAAGAAAATGAAAGGATGAATTTTAAAGAATTAGATGTGATAAAGATTATGTTGAGATATAGGTTATAAGTTTAACCAGAAGTAAGAAAGGTATGTCAGGTAATATGAGAAATTGTTTAGTTATGCAAAGTGTATGTTTAATCAGTTATGATGAAGATTTAAGGTTATGTTTCTTGGTCAAGTGGATGTAGTCAGAGAAATGAATAAAGATTTATATGTATTAAGAAAGTTTAGGAGTCAGTCAAGTAAGAATGAAATAAAAGTTTGGTTATTCTTGAAATACAATTGAAGATTGACAAGGAATTTGATTGATTTATGAGTTTGAGTAATAAGAATTAATGTTATTGTCTATCTGATAAGTGACATGATAGGAGATATAAAGTAAAAAGGTAGTCGAATAATTGAAAAGATAAGAACCAAGTTATTAAAGATGATACAAAAGATTAAGTTCAGAAAGTAGCATGAGAATGTTAGAAGATATGTTCTTCTTAGGATGTGCAGTGAAAATTCGAGGACGAATTTTTAAAAAGGAGGGGAGATTTGTAACATCCCAAATTATGGGTTAGTGACCAAATTGTAAAGTTTTAGAATTTGATGACTAAAGTAGAAGAATGAAATAGTTCAATGATTATTGGATATATATGATGAAGGTTATTTAGTAATTATTAAAGGAAATAAAGGGTAAAATGGTCATTTGATCATTTAAGGAATTAAATAATGTGATAGTGGGGATATATATTTTACACGTGGGAAATGAGGGAAACAATGTTTCCAGAATTCTCTTCTCCTCCTTTCTTCTTTGTGCGTGAAGCTCCAGCTCAAAGGTGAGTTTCTTAATTAGTTGGTTATTTGTTGAATTAAAAGTTGGGTTATGATTCTTAGGTGATACTTAAGCTTAAGGAAAGCTTAAGTTATCTTAAAATCAAAAGATAAATGAGTTAGGGAAGATTTAAGATTTGGAGTTCTTGAGTGAATTTCCAGAATGGAGTTGATAAGTTGAATTTGAAGCTAAATTTGACTTGTCATCAGCTTAATTAAGAAGTATTAAGTATTAGAATTGGATTTGAAACATGTGGAAAATAGGGTATGATTCTTGAAGTTAATAAAGAGGAGAGGATATTAAGGTTAAAGAAGAGATAATTGATTATAAACAAGTTTAAACATGTATATGAAAGTTAGGAATATGAAAGGGGATGAAATATGAAGGATTTCATCCAAAAAGAAGGAATTTTTGGGTTTAAAAAGAGGTTCTGGGCAGAGTGCATCGATGCATATTCATAGTGCACCGATGCATCAATGTTAAAACCCAGAAATTGTTTGAAGGTGTATCGATGCATTGGTAGTGCATCGATGCACTCTTTTAAAATAGAAACATCGAATGCAATTAGTACATCGATGCATAAGGCATGCATCGATGCATACCAGTAATAAACAAACATCGAACGCATTTTATGCACCGATGCATCAGTAGTGCATCGATGCATACCTTCATTAAAAGATGAAATTGCCTTTTCTCTTAGTCTAAAGAGTGAACCATTAGAGTATATTAGTTATAATACTAATATAGATCTATGTATGATGATGTAGATATAGAACGTGATCCCGTTCCGGATCAATTGAAGGATTATAATCGAATCAAAGCAAAGCTAAGGTGAGTGCACATTCTCTAGTATATGAGGTTCAAGGAAAAATAAGACTTGTGATAAGTCTATTTCCAATAGTGAAAAACATGAATTCATAGAAGTATGTATTTGTTATGAATTATATGTGCGCATGAGTATATGTGTTATTGATATGTTTATGTGATACATGAGGGTGAATCCTATGTTTATATGAATATGAGCTCATATGAGAATTGACATGAACTACGTGATTACATGTATATGTGAATGAAACCATGAGCTTATATGAATATATGATATGGTTACATGAATATGAAAAAGGATATAAAAGATAATGCCCATGTTATGTGTCATGAGAGCTAGGGGTATAGTTGGCATGCCAAGAGTCGAGGGTACCTATGTTCTACGGAACATATGAACAGAATTACCTATGTCTTTCGAGACATATGGACAGTATACCTATGTTCTAAGGAACATATGGACATTTCACCTAGGTTCTTCGGAACCTATGGACAGTTACCGAGGATCTTTATGACCTCTGGATAGTTACCGAGGATCTTTAGGACCTCTGGATAGGTCCTGCGGGACATTGATCGAGCTGTGGTGACAGCATATGTGTGTACAACCTCAATGTACTCACATACCTTAAGTTCTCAATAGTGTACATGGGTTAATAAAGAGATTAAACAAGTATACTAAATGTGATATGTATATGTGACTTGTTATATGGAATAGATTACATGATTTACATAATGGTGTATTGCTTGGTTAATGCATGATATGGTAAAGACAAATGTTTATATAAGAGTGTTAAATTATAAAGATTAATGATAGTGAATGAGAAATGTTAAACGTGTTGATAATGATATATATGCATGTGTGTACATGTTGCAGAAATTATATATGTGTGCTTTTATATGATATGATTGTAATACTAATTGCTCATGCATTTGATATGAATTATAGTTGTATTACATGTTTATATGCCTCACTAAGTCAACGTCTTAGCGTGTGATTGTTTCACACGTAGGTTTCGAGAAGAGTAACGAGCAATGTGGAGCAAGACAGGTCAGTTCTCCTTACCAAATGTCATATCAGAAAAAGGTGAATAATACGTATTTTAACAAATAAAGTTCTAGTTGGCATGTAATCAAAAGAATATATATATTGTATAAGCTCTGAATAGTTTTGTAAACGTTTTGAATAAGTTTTAATGTTATAAAAGTTTTAAGGATGATTTGGAGTAACAAAAGTAAATCATTTATTTATTGCTTTTGAATTGTTGTATTTTCTTAGTAAAATTTTCTTTGGCTTTCACTCGCATTTGCTTTCATGATGATGAATTGCAAAAGTTATTAGAAGAATAGAGGAGAAGGTAGAGGTGAATCGTGCACTTTCGAAGGTTAGTGATATATTTAAATGTAGAACTCGTCGACTAAAAGCTAAAAATATATAGATAAACCATGGCGTATTATGAGGAAATTACGAGTCTGAATTTACCGTTTTCTTTAGTTCGCATTGTATGAGCGATCATGGTGATGACATACATGGGAATCCAGAGTGGTTTTACCTTTCTTTATTCATCTTGGAGGTTGGGGTTCTCATAGGTGGATTTTCTTAAGTTATTTGATTTTCTGTCGATTAAAAATATGAGAGTCTTCGATAGACGTATTGTGAAATCTGTTTACCCTTGATATTGTGAGTCAGGAAGGTTGCACAAGACTCTTATATTTCACGTTGAGGCGTGGAAAGTCACTTAGACTGGGGAGCCTATCGTGGGTTAGACCAGTATGAGAACGAATATGTTACGAGGGTTATAGGCGGTTCATTCCTTCTAGTTTGGACAGAGAGTTACAGTCGATGAGAAATTGATCGTTGACTGGTGTTAAATTATTTTATCTCCATAAGGAGGTGAATAGAGATGAGTGAAGGAAAGAGGTTCTCTCCTTTGTCTTGGTCTTGATCGAGAGTATTTACAGTGACCCTTAGTGCTCGTGTCAATTGTAGGGCTATTATTGCTATCCATAGGTTAGCAAGCCAAGTGGATATGGTTAGTTGAAAGTAAAGTTTAACTTTGGTAAATCATATGTGTTTTTTAGATGTCATGTCAAGAGATTGCGGCTTCTCAATGGACGTAAAGTGTTTGAGATTCTTTCTTCATAGGTCCTCTAATTATGAAGGGGTTCTCAAGTTTTGAGATGTGAAGATGATATGTAGAGGACACTCGATTGAGGTACAACAAAGATGAAAATAATTTAGAATAAAGGTTATATTTAGCGTACTAGTTTTATATAATTTTATCAGTAGACAAGATAATAACGAAATGTATAAAAAATATAAAAATAATTAAATTCATTTAACTCTATTTTTTATGTTATGCTATTATTTTGTTTTTAATATATCAAATATTAATCATTAAATTAAACTCTTCAAATTTAATTTAACTTATCTTCAATATTTTTCAACATTGTAGGAGATATTTTACCCCAAACTGTGGCAAATGGCTAGTGGCTATCCACAAAAGCGTAATCGATGCATCCCAATAAGATGAAATCTTAGTTCTTAAACGCTCCAAGTAGCCAATGCGCACACGCTCGAGCACAAATGAAGGACCCTACCAACCTCAATTGATTGAGCATAACGAGCTATTAGATATTTTAAATAATATTTAAAATTAAAATTAAAAACTATGAATAAAATAAAATAAAGAAACTCTGACTGAAAAGAGTATTAAGTCTCTTAAATGATATTTATGTTTAAATCTTGTCGTTATGAATAAAACAAATCAAGTTAGAAGAGTAAACTTAAAATAGATTGTTTTAGTACTTAATATGAATTAACCGGTTAGTTATACCAAAGATAACGAAAAACCTAAAAGCAATAACACAACGGCGGACCTCCCTCTGACTTCAACTTGCCTTCAACAACAAGAAAATGTAATGCAATTAATCTTTTTATTTTCTCAGTGGGTGCCCTATACACATATAATCAACAGGAACAAAAAGGGCTCTTAAATCTGCTAAATTCTGCAACTAACTTCAACACAAACAACAATATAAATAAATTATCACCTGAGGTATTTGAATTTTCGCTGAATTTAGCACTTGTTCCTGTTGCCAATAAGTACTAAAACTTTGATTATCTAAAGAGACAGTTCAAAAACAACCCGTGGTTGTCTTTTCTTTTATGTATCAAAGACTGCTTGTTATCATTATCTTTGTAGCAGCTGGCCCATCACACTGTGTTCGCGTCTGTCGATACCATCTTTGGACAGTCACTTTCCTTTTCCTTTTATTTTATGGCCTTCGTTTAGCTTTATTAATTGTCTTCTTCTTTATCTAAATGTTCCACCAAAAGTTGGCGTCCAAAAATCAGCTGTGGTCTCATTAGTAACAGGGAATGTGGTCGATATCGGCACTAAACATAACCCCCAGCTTCTTAGATATTGTTTTGGCTCATCTTGATCTTTCAACTGGGAAACTGCTGCTTGTTTTATATATTGAATACTTAGAACCTGAAATTATCAGATAATAAACAATATATATGTTAGAGTTTCACATAAGGCGAATAAAATGAAGAAAGTAGCGCAAAATACATTGACTTGATCATGGAGGAACTTGATGTATTCAATGGCTTCATGGAGAACAGATGAGGTATCGGTCTGAGAAAAAAAGATAAAGTAGATATTAACCCAAAGGTTAACCTTACAAAAAAAGTAAAGGGTCTCCAATTGTTTGCACTGTGAAATGTAAAAGAAAGAAAGAAAATCCAAAAATTCACCTTTCCGAAAGGTGAAACCAATTGTTGGAGTGCAGTGATTCGGTCCCCTAGCTTCTCTTTCCGAACCTGATCATAAAAGTTACTTTATCTTGCAGAAAAAGTTACTTTAACTGGTCAAATTTATATAGTGACATAGTTTAGTACCTTGAAAGTTGGTAACATAGATGGTGTTTCAAGCTTTGGCCTCTTAAATGCAGGTTCACTGCTTCCTTTCTTCGTCGTCCCCGAGCCGGAATTTCGGACTTCTGAATTAGTCTATAGTAATACCAACCCAATAACATGAAACTAGAAGAAATGGACATGAAGTAATGTAATATGTCTCAATTTTACTTTATTATTCACTTTACCTTTGCCGTGGGGCTGAAGCAATTAGATTTCTCGTTGAATGCTCCATGTACAAGAAATTGTTGCTTCGGCAACGATGCCCTTATGAAAGGTGATAATTCATTAGCGTTTGCCCCATAATCTACTGTTGCAGACGACATATAGTTTATTGACGACCAGCACGTCGGTAACAACGTCGATGGGTACTCATATGATGCAGAGTCCATTCGGAACCCGGTAGGTATACCATTACCAGAGCTGGTAGCTGAATTCAACCTCGGTTGATCCGATGGAAAATCTTGATAGATTGGCTCGAAAGCAGTAATGGGAGAATCTTTCCCTCGGTTTGAAAAGCTCATCGGACTCCAATCCTTAAGGATTTGAGAAGAACACATGTCTGGTTCTTGCCGATAACTCAACCTCGAATCAGTGTCTTGTTGAAGAATCGAATTATAACTCTCGGTTCTCCAATTACTTCGACTGCAGCAAGCAATGATATAAAACGATAATCAGAGAATTTTGGACTATATTATGTGTTTAATTGATTGACTTCCTTTTCCAAACCAAAAAAAAAGTCTCAAAATATTCTTCTTTTTCGAACTTATTGTTGAAGCTTTGGAGTATTAAGGTCAAATTTAATTATACTAAAAAAACAGTAAAATCAGTTATCATCATTACGAAACATCATCAAACTTACAGCAAAGACAAGTTCCAGTCCGAGGTTGTCGATGATAGGAGGTTAAAACCCAACATTTGTGAAGTAGAATCAACCAAAATAGTGCTGCCAGTGCCAGTACCAGTAGTGTCTGAATCAGCTTGCTGAAGCTTTTGATGATGAGGAGGAGGATGACCTTGTAAAACTATGGAGCTTGCCTTGACATCCACCATATCAGTGCCGTATCCGAAGCTTCCCATGTCGGAAACCTCCGTAGAACACGGCGGAGAACACCCTGTTAACATGGATTTTGCGCAAATCCCGCCGTGAAATTCTTCTGCCATAGTGTTTCAAGTTGCTTTTTTGGTTTTTTTCTTGGCAGATGAGACCTCTCTCTCCTTTGAAAGTTAAATGTGTAAATTTATATACGAAACGATCCAAGTGTAGGGTTTAGTGTGATAGAAAATTACAGAAATTTGGTTGACATTTCGAGGGATGATTGGACAGATGAAAGTCGAATTCTCTTTTCTTTATGTTCATTAGTTATTACTATAAAATTTAATTTAATTTTGTTCTCTATTTACTTTCCACATAAAAAAGGGTAAACTACTCCAATGGTCACTATTGTTTGGGAAAATTTTTGTTTTCACCACTAATATTTCAAAAGATATAAATCGGTCACTAACGTTATTGTTTGTTACAAATTGGTCAATCGCCATTAACAAGTGTTACGGAAAACACACATGGCCTATTAACAACATTTAACATGCTTACTTGGATGGTATAATTACACGAATAGTTCATATTATTTATATATTCTTTTAATTTGATCATAGTTTTAATATATTAAAATATATTTATTTATAATTCTTATAAATAATGATATATTTTAAAAAAAGGAATTCAAAAATTTAAAATTAGTTATAAAAACAAAAAAATTAACGTCTTATAATTTAATTTGTCATTAAATCTTTTAAATTAAATTTTATCACAACATAAATCTTTTAATAATAATTTTGTATCCCTAAATCTAAAAGAAAAACCAAATGAAGTTAAAAGAAAACAAACTTGTCCGGCATGATAATTGAATGAGAGAAGTTACAACCAAGCTAGGACTAACCTCTGAGCTTGGATGCCACACTGCCATTAGACATATAGGGGTAGACGAGAAGTCTGTAGCACAATATCCAATTAAACGAAGCAGATTACGGTGAACCGCCAAGTTGATCATCTCCAACTTGGTCCTGAATTGCGACTCCCCGAAACTTCCTGTCAAGTCTTTTAGCCGTTTCACAACCACCAGGGTCTCGTCTCCTAACTTTCCCTTGTAGACATTACCAAATCCTCCTGTGCCTAGTATGTTCTTGGAACTGAAGTTGTCCGTCGCAAGCTGGAGTTCACTGAAAGTGAAGTTTCCAAGGTTACCGAGGCTAATATGGCACTCTTCCTGTTTGTCTGCAACATACATGTGACAAAATTAAAACACTTTAAACAACCATATAAAAGAAAACTTTTAACAATTTTTTAATTGTTGTCACCAATCACTAATGTTCAGAATCGTTGGCCTCTCCCGTTTCTTTCTGTGCCAAAGTAGTGCAAATGCGAGAAGTATGAGAAAGGCAAAACTGAGGCTGATTCCGAGTGCAACATCTAACCTCTTGGATTTTCGCTCCCCTGATTCATGAGACAAAATAAGAAATACATCCATAAACCATTAATAAGTAGAGCCGTAGGGTATGAATAATTGGGGAGTGTTCTAAGTAGGTTTGAAGAGTGTTACCATTTGATGAATCCAGGGAAAATGTGAAGGGAACGGCGTCAACAGTTCGCAAATTTTAAATTTTAATTTAAAAGATTTAATGACAAATTAATTTATAAGAAGTTAATTTTTTGTTTTTATAACTAATTTTAAATTTTTGAATTCTTTTTTTGAAAAATATATCATTATTTATAAGAATTAAAAATAAATATATTTTAATTTATTAAAACTATAATCAAATTGAAAGAATATATAAATAACATTGACTATTTGTGTAATTATACCATCCAGGTAAGCATGTTAAGTGCTGTTAACAGGCCACGTGTGTTTTCCGTCACGCCTGTTAACGGTGAGCGACCAATTTGTAACAAACAGTAATGTTAGTGACCGATTTGTAACTTTTGAAACATTAATTTTGAAAAAGAAAACTTACGTAAACATTAGTGACCATTAGTGTAGTTTACCCTAAAAAATGTTAATTGTTTTAAAAATTACCTGTTCCTTCTGAATAAAGGGACGTGGTAATGTCATGATGAAGATGGTGCTTTATCTGACTGCCACGTCTCTGTCTTGGTCCAAATCTTTTTTAATCGGACGGTTGATATTGATTGAATATAATAGTGAAAAGATTCTTTGGATCAACCTTAAATTTATGGACCCATGGAATTACGGTGACAAAGATAATTATGATTGTTTTAGGGCTGTCAGATACTTTGTGCGGCAGCTATAACTCATTGCGGTGGCGCGTGGCTCTCACTTTCATATAAATAGAATGGATAAACTACAAATTTACTCACTAAACTTTACTCTCTCTCTCCCCTATTTCACTCACTTTTAAATTTTGTCACTCACAGAATTGTTTCGTTTACCTTTATGGGGAAAAAAACACTAATGGCTAGAAGAAAACATAATGGAAAAATCTTTCCCTTAAATATACCTCTTGTAAAGACCAAATATTTCTAAGCCAGCAAATTCTCATCACTTTTCTCGTTTTGAAAACCCAGTTTGATGTTCATGGTCAAGTGTCAAGTGCAATCTTAAGACAATACAAGTCACATCTCTTGTCGCAATCTCTCTGTTATTACTTAAATTTGAGTTGGAATTACTTTGATGGCCCTCTCTAACCTGTTATATTTGAATTCGGTCAAATTAGAACTCTAGGATCAACCATAACTACTTCAATTCAACATTCTTGCTCGGGGTTTCCAAGCTTAGGTTCTTGAGAATCTTTAAGCATATAGCAACAATTTTAAGGGTCCTTTGTCGCTAGAGTTTGTACGATTACGGTTCTTGGAGCAGCTAAATCTCAGTGACAGCTGCTTTGTTTGAAGATGGAATACCGACTGTTTACGGAAGCTTTACCATTTTGAAGTTGCTGCAAATAAAGAGAAACATGGCAGTAGGAAAAGAAATAAATTAAGCAAGCTGTAATGGTAGTTTCTGTCATCTCTTTATTTTACATATTTCTTTGATGATACTAACTAAGAAAAGGAATAATAAAACCATACTGATGAAACCTCCTATCCAAACAGCAACCGGTGAAATCATGAATCTCTCACCATCAAACCTTCCATTGCCCTTAAATCTATCTCCTATAAAGACCAAGCTTCTCTAAACCAGATTCATATTTTTACCTTCCATTGCTTCAGTATTTAGCAGACCCAAGAAATTAAAAAAAAGGAAAAAAATGTGAAAACTAAAAAGTTGAAAAAGTCGAACAAATGAGAAAAGTTTAATTTAAAAGGTCATGTTATCATTCTGTTAATAATCTAATGGAGTGGCAAAAAAAATTAATGTATAAAATCTAGTGATTAAATTAAAAAAAATAAAGAGTACAATAAATTAAATAGGAAAAAAATAAAATTCAGTAACTATGTAATTTACCTAATAGAATATGTGTAGGTAAAAGTAATTAAAGAAAAATTACATGTAGTAGGCATTAGGGCATAGGTTTTTTTTTAATGAAAAGATAATAAAAAAAGAGTTAATTTAAGCCAACAATCATGACATCCTGATTATATTGCCGAACAACATATGTCGGAGGGTACTGGAAATAGTGGAGCCCAAAGTCAGCTGGGACAGTCTAATGAGTTTTAATGTTTCGAGCGAGATAATAATTTTATGTGTCTATATTTATACCGTATAATAAATAAAAGATAAACAATTTTTTAAAACAAAAATGTAATAGAAATTATAGTCAAACAATATCAATACTAATACAAACCAAAACCTACAAGGCTACAAATATCACACACCTTCGTTCATTTTTTTTTAAGGATAGCCAATGCTGCACACAAAACGGAAGTACCTGAAGAAGGAACCCTCTATATATATAAACTAAAAAAAAGGTTGATTTCGCCCGGCAATCCTAAGGGCCATGATTCAATCTCCACTGGAGCCATTGTGAGGAATAACCATTCTAGAACAATCATTTGGTTTCTTTCATTCTTTTTTTGTTCTGCTCCCCCAATGAAGGAAGACTTGTCCCTCCTAACTTTCCCATTGCCATGGCCATTTGACCCATGTAGTTTGCCACATTTCCAGATGATCCCGAGGGACCAGGAGGTGAACCGTTGGTCAAAGTCTCAGCCAAAGATTGTTGCAATGCTTCCATTCCTTGTGACAAAGAATCTTCAGCCTGTTGGGATGACTGCTGCAACTTTTGGATATTCATAAACTGCTGCTCAGTTAGAGGCTCCAGTTGATTTGAAAGAAGCTGCACCAACATCCATTATGTTTTAGAAATCATCAACAAACTAACAAGCGCTGAAAAGATGAATGCATCAGAGTCTACCTTAGAATAAAGAACGGGGAAACACCATAACTTAATATTAATCATTTACAATTAATTATGAACTTTGAGACTTACATGCAATTGTGTATCTATTCTAACAAACATGCCATGTTTTATAGGCATTTGTTTTACTTTTTTTAAGGATCTAAGCACCATATCCCTATAAACTCAAAGCCAAACACAAACACTATAGCAAAAGTGAATAATGCATGTAATATAGCTTCCAAATATATACAGTGAATAAATAATTAAACAAGTGTAGTTCATTAAGACAAAAAAGGAAAGTAAACAACACCATGATTATCACTTATCAGAACCGCACCAGATAGTTTCAGTTCAAGGCTTCAAATCATGGGCCAAAGATTCATCAATGGATCATTTGAGTCAACTGCCGGATAACATAAACAGTTTTAAATATTATGAATACTTTAAGTAAAGTTACTGGGAGGAAAAGATGATGAAAAAATATTAAGAATATATTTTAACAATTTACGAAATAAGGGCTAAAGAGTTTCATTTCATAAAACCCAAAAATAAAAGTCAGCCTGATAACAAAATCCAGAATTTGATCTTAACTAGGGACATGATGTCCAAACACGCATAAACCAAGTTCCAAAGCTGGAAAAGGTCAAAGAGTAGAAAATGCCCCCCTCAAACATGCTGTCTTGAGCTAAAGCCCATCTGGCACAGGGCCGGCTCTGGTCAGCTGGCTGTGCTGGCTTCGTCATTCCATCTGCAATTGCATTGCATCGTCGAGTTACATAGTTGAGAAAAATCTGTCAATTTCTCTTAAGCAATTCCATAATAATATGTGGAGTCAGGGATAAAGCACTCTACGTAGCTCCTTTCTCCTTTAACACCTCAATTGCGTCTTTGCAATTCGTTTCCAAAACAACCGCTTTTAGCTGTAAATCCCAAGCTAGCTTGAGTCCAACAAGATCCCCCATAATTTTGCCTCTAATATCGTCCAAAGACCAATATATTTCGTGTATCCCACACCCACAATCCACGTTCCATCTTCATCTCGGATAACCCCACCACAAGACGATGTGCCAAAGCTGGTCAATCTCGCACCATCCGGATTTAATTTGTACCACCCACCATCAGGAGCCTTCCAAGCAATGGTTCGCTGGGCAGGCATGGAGGATTGAAGGTTCTCTTGTAGTAGAGTGTATTTCGGCCACATTTTGCATTCGGTGCTTGGCAATTTCTAATTTTCAATAGTGAAATAATACTTCATAATAAGACCAATAGTTACTATTTTCCCACGAAAGCTAAGGGCCCAAATATTACGAGCCCGAATCGACAGAGAGGGTTACACGCTATTAAGTAGCTCTAGTTTTTTCCTTTAATAAATAATATTTATATAAAAAAAATTAATTATTTGACAATAAAAATTTATATCCTTACATATGCGATGTTCAAATCCGAGATTTAAAGAGACAACAATAAATCCATTAATCACTGAAATCGCTTGACTCACGCAGCATAAGTAGCTCTAATTTTAAATATACTTAAATACATCATTGTCCCATAAACTATGAATTTTATATTATGTTATTTCTTAAAGTATTTTTCGAGAAGCTCTATTCCTTAAAGTTTAATCATTGTCTCATTTGTCTCAAATAATTAATTTTTTGTTAAAAAAATATAAACTACATATCTAATCTCTAAACTATTCGTTTTTAAAATCATAATTAAATTTAAAATTTTATTTTGTTTTGATAACACTCCAATTTAATCACAAAATGTTGTGACTAAAACAACACTAGATATCTTGAAAAGATAATACGTTTCCGTTGTCGGAGATTCCGACAAAATAATAGAAGATCCCAACATAAATGAGAGAAAGTAGGGGCTTTATCTTCTTCCTACCCTGTTGAAACTGAAATCCAGACACAGGTAAAGAAAAAGAAACAAAACACAAATTTGTACAGTTTGAATTTAAAACAGCGCGGGGAAGAAAGAAAAGCAAGATGGGGACAGTCCAATGGCAAATTAAAAATCATTGAAGAGGCAGCCAAAAGTCGTAAAGAGAAGGAAAAGTTGTTCTGGGTGATGCCATTTTTCCAAATGATTTTGTTTATTTAAAATGTGGCAAACTCATTCATTCAAAAACATTATCACCTGTTAGGTTAGGTATATCAACACACTCTCTTTCATGCTTTAAAACTAGGACAGGTAATTAAGGTAACGTAAATAATAGATATTAACAAATTAAGAGCAGGCCACGGCTGACCCTTGTCAATCTCAAACCCTCGTAATTTTCACGCTGCCCGTTGGGTTATGAAATTGCTCTCTGTCTCTTATCAATATTGGCCGTCCTTCACGACAATCGTTTCTTCAATGTTCTACATTACCAAAATCGTCCCTCAAAATATTTTATTTTGACACAAAAAGAGACTTCCTATATAATTTGGTATCTCAATTTGACTTTTTTTCTTGAATTAATATCTAAACTTTGTTTTGTTCCAATTTAATACTAGAATTTGGGGAAAAATATGTGAGGTTATTTGGCATCTCACCAATCAATAAGTTGTCGATATAATATTGAACGGTTAAAATGATGATATCATCATATATCACATGTTATAACTTAATTAATTGTTAAAATACTACATTTACACCTATACCAATTTTAAAAAGGTATAATGATAAAATTAGCCTTTAACGTTTTTACAAATTGTTATTTTGTTTCTTATTTTTTTTTGGGAATATTTTAGCCCTAAATATTTTAATTTTTGATCAAAATAGATAAGGATGGAAACGGGTTGAGTTAGGGTCTGGTTTTTAGTCAATCCGATACGATAAGAAAATATATATCCTCTATCCGAACCTGACCAGAAAATTTTATATCCTTCACCTGAGCTAACAAAACTCGAAAAATATATATCCTACACTCGACACCAATCCAACCCGAATTTTTAGACTACAAATCCGACCCGACCCGATATAAAATAAGGATTTAATTAAAAATAATAATATTTGTTTTTAAGAAAAATATATTAATATCCTCGAGTCGGGTCAGAGTTTTTTCAACCTCCACACGAACCCGACCCGACCTCATCCCTTGAAAAATCTAACACTATTGGGTCAAAACCCATCGGATTCGAGTTAAATTGACATCCCTAAAAATAGCTCATATTAAATGAAAGTCGTTAGTTAACTAATAATCAACAAATATTATTAATGTGATATTTTCAAATATGTTTAACTGTTGATGTGACATATATTAATGTAACATATTTTTAAATATGTCATTACTTTAGTGATATGAGATGTATCATATCATCACTTTAGGTGACATGACACATATTGCATTCATCAATTAAAACACATGGAAGAATATCGAGTCATTAATTTGCGTTGACTATTAGTAATCTAACGAGTTTCATCCAACATGGTCTATTTGACCAAAAATTAAAACATTAAGAACTAAAATACTTAAAAAATATGAGACAAAGTAACTATATATATATATATATATATATATATGTGCAAACATTGAGGATTGATTTTATCATTATACCCTTTCAAAATTGATAGTTAAAAAGATAATGTTAAAGGATAATTATGTCTATATGAATTAAAAAAATTGGAACACAAAATATGAATTAAAAATTGCCAGGCTAGAAGTGGGACATTTCTTTCTGGCCTCCATTTCATAGAATTTGAATACAGCAGTCTTACTAGGTCTAGCCCTAGAAAAGCAACCTTAAAATACAACCTTTAAACCCTTATTAGAAAAATAAAACCCTCAGATCTCACTAAGTTTCTGTCTCTGTCTTTAAAATGTCTCAATCTCTGAAAACTCTGACACCCATAGCTTTGACCCTGCTTCTTCTACTTCTTCCCCCTCTCTTGGCCACCTCTTCCATACACGATCTCCTCCATAGACAAGACTTGCCTGTTGGTCTTTTCCCGGACAATGTTAAATCCTACAAATTCGACGATTCCGATGGTCGCCTCGAAGTTCACCTGGAAAGTCCGTGCATGGTGACGGCCAACCTGAGCTACGGTGGACTCGTCGGAGTGGAAGGGCTGTCTCAGGAAGAGTTGTTTGTGTGGTTTAATGTTAAAGGTATCCGTGTTAAGGATCCTTCTTCTGGGCTTGTTTTGTTCGATATCGGCGTTGCACATAAACAACTGTCGCTTTCTCTCTTTGAAGATCCTCCTGTTTGCAAGCATCAAGGTAATTGGTTATTGATTTGGATTTGTCTGGAAATAACGTTAGATCTTTGAAGATTTTGTCTGTTTTTTTATTATTAGGATTGTGTTCTGATTATGTTTGTTGAATTGAGGAGTTGTGGCAGGAAATCTTGGGAGGAAGATGGGATTTCAAGTCCAGAGGTGATGGGTTGATTCATTTCATTACTTCATCTTGAAGAGAGATTTTGTTTCCCTTTTTCTTTCATGGTATTTGTAGAGATGCATGTAAAGATGGAAAATTGAAGATATGATTTCACAATCCAAGTGATAAATATTTTGGTGGGGGTTATTAATCTTTTTTTTACCTAACAGAATTCAATGATTAATCTTTTATACTCCGTAAATGAAGATACACTAACAAATTTTAAAACTGATTCATGTAATAATTTTTGTTATTTCATCTAAATCCGTGATTCATTATCTTCTATGTTCGTAATAAATTAAAAATATTAGCAATCTCTTACCCAACTATGAATCTTTTATTATGCTCTAAACAACATCAAAGAAGTTTGAGGGCAAAATGTAGTTTATATAATTCAGAAATCTTAACAAGTAGGTGCCTTTGGAACTAGGAATTAGGTATGGGCCTGCTTACCCTAATCTTGTGAGCTTAAATATAGCAAACAACTTCCATTACATTTACATGGTCCACCGTATGTGTATATATATATAAAAGGAAGCTTGCAAGGCATATTGACTACCGGTATATTTTTATTATAGTTGGTTTGTTGTGGGTTTGAAAACTTGGAAACTGTTCCATTTGTATGGAACTTTTAATGTTGGTCAACTGATTTTATTGTAATAAAATTTTGAGTTGAGGTGAAATCCGAGCGTAACCTATTTTTATGGTTGTAATTGTTGATGAAAATAAGATGATCTTGTGAATAATTAATGTTTCACTCATTTTGATTTGGACGATAAATCATGATTGGTGAGGAAATGATAATTGATCAATGTTTTTGTATTGAAGAGGTTTGATCATAAAAAGGAAGACCATATAAAAACAGTGAGTGATCAAGTCTCTTTTCCATTTAGTAGAGTGTATTTATAGTGGTTTTAGTAAACGTGTCACACGTAAAGCTATTATGAGTATTTGTAGGTTGACATGCTAGACATATTTAATTACTAGACTTTGAATTTTGTTATACGTATAAGGTGCATGTTAAACGTTTTGTCTATACAATTTAATTGATTCGAAGGTCCATGTCATATAACACCCCTCGACCCGATTGAATTAAAATTCGAATCGAAGATACATTTGGAATACGAAACTAAAACCAAACCAACCATTTAAAACAAATCATGTCACATATTCATCTTAAGGCCAAAACATACTAAAATCATATTTAACAAGTGTTTTTAGAGGTGCTTAATGGTTAAGGACCAAATTTTAACTTTTCATAACTTTGAAGACGAAATCTTATTCCACATTCTTTAAACTACTTATTCATTTGTAGTCATTAAACCATAAATAAATCATTTAGATATTTTAAATAGATTAATATGATGTTTGAAATTTTAACATATCCTAATTAACATGTTAACATTTAGCTTAGATCATCGTCAATTTTTTTTACGAAAAATGACGAGTTTAAAACATATGAATAGTCATATGATCATTTTGTAACTTTTAATAGTCGGAAGACTCAACAAAGTAGCACCATATAATCGGGAAACCATTTTTTAACTTTCAATAGTTAGATGAATCAACAAAGTAACACACTATAATTGATGGATCATTTTACAACTTTTAATAGTCGGAGGACTCAACAAATAAACTCCGATCATTTTATAATTTTTAATAATATGAAGACTCAATAAATTAACACCCTATAATTAGGGATCATTTGCATATTTTACCTTAAAATAAAAATCTAACTTCTGGCGATTTAACCCGAACTCTAAAGCCCTAGCACAGCTACTGGCGTCCTTAACCCCCGAAAAATGTCATCTCTAAGTCGCATCCTCCGCCGCACCTTATCCACAACCTCAAACCTGCAGCTCGGCAGCGTTCGAAAAGTCGCTGATGATCTCTACAAAGAACGCGACCTCAAGCGTCTCGTTGAAAAATTCAAAAAATCTTGCGAATACAGTCGCTTTCGCAGACGAAACGGCATCTATGAAGATGTTGTTCGCCGCCTTGCTTCAGCTGGACGCTTCCGGTGGATCGAAGAGATCCTAGAAGATCAAAAGAAATACGATGACGTGTCCAAAGAAGGCTTTGCTGCTAGATTAATTCATTTGTATGGGAAACAGGCATGTTTAAGCATGCTTACAAGGTGTTTGATGAAATGCCGAACAGAGGGTTGTTTTCTTTCAATGCTCTTATGGGAGCTTGCGTGAATGGCAAAAAGTTTGTTGACGTTTACCGGTTTTTCAGGGATTTGCCGCCAAAGTTGTCGATCGAGCCAGATTTGGTTTCTTATAATACAGTTATTAAGGCTTTTTGTGAGATGGTTTCTTTAGATTCTGCTAGATTAATGCTTGATGAGATGGAGAAGAAGGGTGTGAAACCAGATGTCATTACTTTTAACACACTTTTAGATAATTTCTTTAAGAATGGTAAGCTTGATGATGGGGAGAAGATGTGGGTTAAAATGGTGGAGAAAAATGTGGAGCTTGATATTAGGAGTTATAATTCTAAGTTGCTTGGATTTGCAAATGCAAAGAGAATGGAAGAGACAATTATCTTGGTTGAAGAAATGAGGAGTAAAGGAGTCAAACTTGATGCGTTTACCTTCACTTGTATGATTAGAGGGTTTGTTGACGAGGGAAAATTAGAAGAAGCTAAAGAGTGGTATAGTCAAATCGGAAAAAATGACTGTGCACCGGATAAGCTGACTTTTACAATATTAGTCCCCTTCCTTTGCGAGAAGGGTGATTTGAGTTTTGCCATTGAGCTGTGCAAGGAGATTTTTTGTAGGAAAAAATTGGTTGATGCTGCATTGCTGCAACGAGTGGTGGATGACTTGGTCAAAGCCTCCAAGATCGAAGATGCAAAGGAACTCGTGAAGCTTGCCAAGGAAAATACTTACCGTCGGTATAAGCTGAACATGCCTGCAGAGTAGTGCCAGGTTTTACCAATGCTATTTTGTTTGATCATTTTATTTAATTGAATATAAAAGCAAGCAGTTTTTTTACCACTTGCAGTCAGAAGTCAGAACTACTATCAAGTTAGAGGAGGAGATGATATTGATCTGTTATCTTATCAGTGATTAAGTTTTCAATGATTTACTATGTCTTCTTATTTATCATCTGTTATAACCTCTAGCTTTTGATATTGAACATTACATGATGCATTGAATTTGAAACCGAAACTTTGATGATAATCATCTTTGTAATGCAGTTGGTATTTTGTAGTTCTTTTTTACCGTAAATGAATTGTATGATTTCACATCCGTTCTCTCTGTTTTTCATCTGTGCAATCTCAATATGAAATTGTAGAAACTGGAAAACAACATTAATCCTGTCTGTGGTTAGTTTTACTTGAACTTGAGTGATACTTGATGGTTCTTCTCCTGTGCCTATGAACTGATGAGTTGATGAATGATGGCTTGTTTACAAATAAAACTTGGATCATACTCTTATTACCTTTTCCTTCTTTTTACCTGAAATTAAGATCTTTTAATTGAGCTGACAGTGACCTGAACGTGCTTAAACAAATAAACAATCAAGTTTCAATTTCGTAAATGGACAAAAGACTCCCTTTATATGGCATAGAAATGAAAATGTCTCTGCAGACAATGAACAAGGTTTTACATCAAAATACGATTAACCAATTCTCTTAGCCAAGCTTGGCAAGAACATCGTTCAAACTAGATACAGTCTGAGCATAATACTTCTCTGCTTCAGGGGTGCTCTTGATCTTGGCTGCATGGTCAAGCTGTAAGTAAGAAGAAAATTCCACATCAGAAATACATGATAGTTTACCATATCAATTGAGGCAAGCAATTATGCAGCAAAACCCAAAGGAAGAACTTTGAAACTTACATCATCGATGGTATTGAAGAGCTTCTTAGTAAGGTCCTTGAGAGTTTTCTTCTCATCTTTGGGCTTGGAATCAATGACAGTGTTGAGGTCATAGCGGAGATACTCGGCCTTGAGACGGAGATCATTCATGACATAAGGCCATGCTTTTTTGTCAATCAAGTTCTTGACACCCACAATGTCCTTGGCTGACTCCTTTGCTCTCTGTGCTGCCTGAGCTGGAGTAAGTGGTTGGAGGAAGAACCTGTTTTTGTATGGCAGATCAAGGTCTCTTGGCTCATCCGAGTTCAGAGTTCCAGCTACCAACATTATGATTTGATCATCAAATTACCAAGTTCGAAAATGCATGAAATCTATAAATAGAAAAGAATCGACGACTTACGCAATCCACCAGAAGGTGGGGGAGGTCCGCCAACCTTGATGCTTCTTGCATCGGCAAGAACAGCTTGAACAACGGAGCCAGTGGCCAAACCAGCAGCAACAAGACCCAGTATGGCTCTGCGTCCGGTCTCAGGCTCAGCTGGTGCCTGATAGGCTCTGACAGTGAAACCAGACCTACTCACAGCCGCTCGATTGTTGCTGGCAATGTTCAAGCGAGTTTGGCCACTGATTTGGAGGCTGCCGTCCAGGACAGCCTGTGAAGAAACACGTAAACCAGCCATAGATGCCATTGCCTGTGCCATCTCCGCAACCAAGGTGTTTTTTTTGTTTCTTTTTTTCAATCTGAATGAGCCAAATGTAGAAAATGTTTGTTCTGACCTTAGGGTTATTTGGGGGTGTTGATTTGATGGTGGATTTTGTGATTTTTTTTTCTGTGATGTAGATTGGTTGTGGTTTGTGACACCTTATCTGCAATTTTCCATTTTGGATAAGTCGGATGTGGTATTAACCAATTGCTCTTAGACATATGGGTAGTCGATGATTCTTGGCATTGCACATGTTGGATGGGGTTTCATGGTGACCTGGTCCGGCTTCTGACACGTGGACTGTGCAAACCATGATCTTGTTAAGTATGTGGTTAACAAATTAAGAAAGGGATTATGTATCTCTAGATTCTCTACGAGGGTTTTAACTTTTTAGTGACAGAGAGTAATTATATCCTAATTATTAATAATATTAATTATTATGAAAATACTAATAATATTTAAAATCATTGTCTAATCTTTTAATGTTTAAGTAATCGATAATGAAACTACTAATAAGAATAACAAGAAAATAAACATCTTTGCCATTTCATCTAAGCAGCTGTACTAGTTGGAGTAATAGGACATGTAATAGAAATAATAACAGC